GGCGGCAGCACACAGGCGGGGGGGCTTTCCCTAGGAGCGGTAGCTACTAAAAAAGAGAAAAAAATATTATTTTATTTAATAATAAATAAATATTAATTATATTATTTATTTTATTTAATTAAAAAAGAAAAAAAAAAACAAAATAAATATATAAATACACACAGCTGCTGCTGGTGTAGCCTGCACCCTCGCGAATACAGCTCAGCAGAAACCAGCTGTATTTTCTTCATTTTTTTTCTTTTTTTTTGTTTTTTTTTGTTTTTTTATTTGTTTTTTATTATTATTTAATTTTTATTTCACTTTATTTTTATTTTATTTAATTATATCCGCTTATAAACTCCTAGAACACAACGAAACCCCCCCGGTGTCTCAACACCACTGCCGCTGCTGCTGCTGGTGCTTCTTCTCCTCTTGCTGCCCCCCATGCATAACCCTTTTTTATTTTTATTTAATTATTATTTATTTATTTTTATTTATTTTTATTTATTTTTTATTTATTTTTTTTTAAATAATTTTTTTTACGTCAATGGGCTCGAACCACCGGGGCCCCACGGTCTGCCCAGTGGGCAGGTCTTGGGGGTTTTGGGTTTAGGGTTTAGGGTTTACGAGGGTTTAGGGTTTACGAGGGTTTAGGGTTTATGAGGGTTTAGGGTTTAGGGTTTAGGCTCTGAAAGTCCCCAAGGGTTTAACCCGGTAGCGTGAAAAAGCTTATGCGCTCATCGTTGAGGGTTTAGGGTTTAGGGTTTTAGGGTTTAGGGTTTAGGGTTTTAGGGTTTAGGGTTTAGGGTTTGAAGGCCTTCTACAAAGAGGGTTTAACAGACACGAGAGAAAAACAACAGCAGCAACAAAAACAACAAAAAAATAAATAAAATTATTTTGTTTATTAGCTTTAGGGGTAAGCACACGTAAACCCTTGCATGCAGACTACACTGCAGCGGGGGGCCCAGGGGGCCCAGCAGCTAGCTAGCTAGCTAGCTAGCTAGCTAGCTAGCTAGCTAGCTAGCTAGCTAGCTAGCTCTCAGAGTAGCTGTCTGGCTATTTGTATAGCTAGCTAGCTGCAAGGCTAGCTAGCTGACTAGCTAGCTAGCTAGCTAGCTAGCTAGCTAGCTAGGAGAAAAAAAAGAATAAAGAAGGAAGAGAAAGAGAGTAAATATCTTTATATAAACAGAAAGGAGGCGAAGCTGCGTTTTTTAATTGAGACGCTCTGAGGTGTACAGGCAGCTAGCTGTCTCCGTTTGTCTTTCTTCTGTCTCCTCTTTATTTATTTTTTTTTTTTATTTTCTCTTTTAGTTAGATAAGTTTAATATTAATATGAATATTATAATCATTTTTATTGTTTTTTTGTTTTTGTTTTTTTTTTATTATTCTTTTTTTTTCTGTTGCTCTGGTTGCTGCTGTTGTTTGTTATTCTTTATAGGCCCTATTATCTTCATTTGGTTTTGTTTTATTTATTTTTGTTTTATTTTTTTTTATTATATATATATATATATATATAT